TTTTCCCTTTGACTTCGATTTGACCGGCTTGGACAGCCGGTGGGGACTCTTTGACCTGCCCTTTTGACCTTTTGACTTGACCCGATTTCCCTTTGCAGATTGAGGTGAATAAGGGGACTCATATGAGAAACGCAATTAGCCTGCTCGGGTGGTCGTGGAGGCGACAGGCGGCCGGCGTGAACAAGCCGGTGGACCGCGACGCCTGGATCATCCACCCGACCGTCGTCGACGCCTTCTACTATTCCAGCACGAACTCCATCGTCATCCCGGCGGGGATCCTGCAGAGTCCGTTCTACCAGAAGGGGAGGCTCGCGGCCTTGAACTACGGCGGGATCGGGATGGTCATCGGGCACGAGATCACGCACGGGTGAGCTGAGGGGGCAAACGGCACTTATTGAAGAAAACGGAAAACAACCTGATGCTTAGCTTTACGTTTTTTTCCCGCACAATTAATCGTCAATTGCTGCAGAGCTCAAGGGAAATGACAGCTTACAGAAGCCTATACTGACGTCCAGAGAGACATCTCTATCAAGAATGAATCTATATTTCCCGGTCCGTCGTTGCCAAGTCGGCATTTTCTCAGGGAGAGAATCTTGAATTCCAATCTACTGAAAGGAGGCTCTTACGTCTGGCCTCAAGGTCCATTGTTTATTGTTGGCAAATATTTCGAAAAAATTTCACACAAGTCTTGAATCATCTCCTCCTTAAATTGAAGCGGACGGATTTGGAATAAATGGGATAAGAGCATGAGGAAAAATCCGGTCAATTATTTATTGCGGTTTTTCTAAGTTTTCTTTTATTAAATATTTTCTTCTACAGTAGGAAACGCCAAAGTGGAGAAGCTGTATAACGATGCATCCACAGCACAGCAAAAAGGGATTTATCCCTTTCCTTTATCCACAGCAAAAAGGGATTTATTTTTAATTTCGAAGCATTTCCGAAACTTCTGACCTCGCTCCCACTGTATTAGGACTTTCCCACAGGACGAAGGGCTTGTGCTCCTTGCCCAGGGACCAGGAGTAGCAAGGATTTTCGAGACGGTCCAGCGGACTTCCTCGTGATTCTGGCGCTTATGGTGGAGGAATCCAATCGATTTTGCGACGCGATCCTATAAATGGTAACAATTGCATCGCTGCAGACAAGCGAATGCCTTTCGGTAGGTCCATGACGCAACGGCCAGAACAGGACTTGGGAGTGGATTCTCCCCTAAATTCTTACCGATTCCAGTAAACTGGTTAACTATTTCAGCGATGTCATTTAGCTATTCATAATGAATGTATAAGTCTGGTTCTCGCATAATAGGCACGATGAATGTCCGATTTCTTCAAATCCAATGAACGTCGAAGAGCCTCATGCCTCCACACGTATTGACAGGTTCGATCACGACGGTGGCCTGTTCGATGCTCGTGGGAACCGGGTCGACTGGTGGACGGAGGCGACGCGCCAGGCCTTCTCGGAACGGGCGCAGTGCTTCGTCGAGCAGTACGGCGGCTACGGGGTCCTTGAGCTCGCGGAGTTCCTGGAAGGTAGGTTGGAAGGTTCAACGTCCATCCTTACTTAATCTTACCATTGCATTTAAGACGATAGTACTTCTTTCGTTTTTGCTCACTTGTGCACGTTGCAGACCCGCACGTCGACGGTCGGTTGACCCTGAGAGAGAACATAGCGGACAACGGAGGTTTGAGTGAGACCTGGTCCGCCTACCTCAGCTACGTCGACCGGAACGGAACGGAACCCTTCCTCCCTGGTCTCGAGTTCCTCACGCCTGAGCAGCNCGGGTCTGAAGGAGCCAAGTGAAAACGTAGAACAACAATCTTCGTCCTTGAGCTTCGCTAGGCGATATCTCCACGTCCAACAGTTCCCATGCAGTCGCACGTCTAAGATTCGAACTCCGTCAATCAGACCTTGCTCGCCATTTGGGTTTCTGACGAGCATGGCGATTATATCATGCTTTAAAGTCAATTCATGGGGAGCAAGCCCAGCTGGATTGAGACTGTCGATGATCTCCATTTTGGAATTATTTTCTCTTCTTCGTTATTCAAGACTACACTGTCGATACTTTACTACGTCCTTTATTTTGTCTAGTTCCCATTTTTACTTGAAGTTTACGTGGAACAGTGAAGGAATTATTTTTTTTCACGCAAACATGCAAATACGTAAACATACGTGCAAGTGCTTGTGAAAATGTTCTTTTTATGCGTGTTACCAACAATGTTCTGACTTTCCTGGGAGTAAAGACCCAGGTAATACATCCATGTGGAAACAACATTGAAACAATGTTTCATGGCAACATTTCTAATGTTGGAACAACATTGAGGTACCACATTGATTCAATGTGAAGATGTCATTTTTGTCAACATTGTTTCAACATTGAAATGGAATGTTGAAACAATATTGATGGCAACATTTATTTAACATTCCTCAATGAGTCTCTCGTGATTGGGTTTCTCCATTGATAAAGTAGAGGTAAATTCATCAAAATGGATCGCATGACCTGTGGATGATGAACTACATATACTAAAGAGGATAAACCCTCTTAAGTATCTATAGGTCAGTACCCACAGAGTACTGAGAAGTTTGAGAGGATGAGTCCTCTTCAGTTCTGCAAACAGCACCAAACTGCCTAACTGGTTTGCAAATCGAGGATAAATTCTCTCAGCTCCTCTATTGGAAGATTTGTGAATACACTTATTATTTATTATATTATTATTCTTGTGTGCGCACTACACGTCTCCAATCGCCTAGACTTCTATGCGCTCACACTAAACCTGGACATTTAATTTGTTTCAGAATCAGATGCTGCAATCAGAACATCATGATTCCACATTTCTCTAATATATGTGTTCATTAATTACGTAATGAAAATAGGAAAGTGGGAAGAAAACGCTTTAATGGAAGGTGACAGATCCGTAATTGCATTAGGAGGCTACAAGGGAACATGGATACCATCTAGTGAGCTCTCTTGGTACTTCATGATGAACGCGCCTAGACTACACTACCCTAGTAACATAACGTCCATAAGAGGATGCAAGACGTCTCCGCGATGACAGTAGGATAATTGGAAATGGTTTATGTATTTCTTTCCGAATTAAAAAAAATCATTATTCAAATACTTTATAATAAACGGCATGCAACTCAATAGTTGTGAAGGCTCATTTTTTCCACATTGAAATCATGTTGTGGTAGGTTGATAGTACTCCGAAAACCTATTGAAGAGGTCCAACTCTTTATCATTTTAAGAGGGGTTAACAATTATGCCACATCTAATAAATATAATCCGAATATTCCCCAATTGGAATCCACAATGTGATGCGACGACATTGTATCAACATTGAAACAATGTTCACCTTCAACCTTAAACATTCGCACACTCAATCCACATCCAATCCATGTTGATTCAATGTTCTGTGTTACCTGGGGAAGGTGTTCTAAATGTTTTACGGATAAAACAGCAGCTGTTTTTGCCATTGGAAGAACCTGGAGTTAGAGCATACACGGCCGTGGCCCGGTCCGAACGCCCCAACCCGATTCGACCCGCGGGCCGACTAGGGTCGAACTTTTATCGTGCCCTAGACGTTGGGAATGGGAAACTCCAGAATTTGGCAGATTTTTTGGCACGGCCGACTGCGATTTCTGATTCTCACGATCACACGAAGAGTGTGCGGCATGATAATAGATAAATGATGGATGATAAATCGCAGCAATTTCGTTCCATGGTCTCAGCTTGCAAGCTCAGATCGGGTCCGTGCCGAAAAAAATCGCACACGCACAACACTGCTGACCAGTGATGTACAACCCGCTAGCCACGGGCCGCATGAGGCCAGCGGATACTTTTTCTGCCGCCCTTGCATGGCTCCGATCTCAAAAGATCCATATTTAAATGCGGCTTATTTCGGTTAGTATTAGGTCTGCAGCCCTCGAACCCCCTCGAACATGAGCCAAAGTTTCAATATGGCAATCTTAGGGGAAAATTTTGTTCACCGCTGCTGTAGACCAACCGAAACGATTTTGCGAAGGAAGCAATCACTTCTTCTGCATGGAATCCCTTGCTTCTCCACTTTATTGAAGCGTCTTCTCGTGACCATCACCAATCCATGGAATCCTGCACGAAGTGGCAGATGAGGCAATGGAAATAACGGCAAGCTTCATTCCAGTTTGATAACACCATAGAAATTTTTTTTTATCGTTTTACACACATCTGGCTAGAAGATCTTTCATGATAAATGCATAGTCCTTATCATCCTTGCTGGCTTTATTACTCTGCTCCATTTTTATCGCATCGTCGATTGCACAGTCGCTTCATCCATTGCCCAGCCACTTCGTCAGGTGATCTACGCGACAAGAGAGGACCAACATGACCCTCAAGTTAGTCACGACTATCCTCCATTTAGTATCTATCGTTCCATTTGCAATTACTTGAACAAGAGTATTTTTTTCCCCTTTTATTCGTACCACCACCACGCTGATTGTTGAATTCACGTATAGTTGCAGTAAAATCTCGATATATCGTTTCGAAGTATTCCTCCATCTTCACTTATATTTTAACCTATTCCATGGAACTAATCCCCCAATCGGTTTGTCATATGAAAAACAATGCACTCCATTTGACCATCACTGTTTTGACACAAAAATAGTTGTAGCCAACAGTGGAATTTATATTGAGGGTTTAAGAGACTATAATCTGAATTCATATCAGAGTTCCGGGATTTTCAGTTATTCTCTCTCGTTTATCTGCAGACTCCTGGCTGTTCTCCTCTTCCTGGTTCTTGCGGACGCAGCGCAGAAGGAGGCAGCCGCGAAGAGTTAGTTCTTCCCCCATCAAGCTCTTCTTTCACTCCTTGAGAGATCCGCAATGGATGATGACCGCGCACTCGTTGCACCAGGTTCGGAGGCGACACGGATGGAGATGAGATCGACGCCGCTGAAGGGCGGAGGGCTGGAGAGACCTCACATCCCCCTTTTCCTGCTCGACTCCAACGGAATTCCCAACAGGAATGCGTTCGTGGAAGGCAGGCCGTAGCGCGTGAAGCCGGAGGTCGAGAAACCATTTACCGAATCATGGCAGCAGAAGAACCTTAGCACGAAGACAGAATGTTCAGAAGCCGGTGTGAATTAATTTCTGAATCCATGAGATTTGGTCATTTCAATCATTAAACTCGGTTCAAATGGTTAACTTTGACAACAGGTTTCATTTTTATTTCATACCTTTTAAATGTGTACTAGCGTTTTTATGATGTGCATTTTTGGGCATACTTAAGTAGTATTTAGTACGGTTGAACACAGTTCTGAAAGATCCGTGAAGTCCACCCAAGCACAGGGTCCACGCGGTCCTTAGCAACGACGCCGCATTCGCCATGCATTCGGATGCTCAGCAGACAAGCCCGTGTTCAACGAGAACGCCATCTGCGTCATGTGGTTCTCCCCCCGCGAAAAAGGGTCGAAACGGCCTCCCCCAGTCAGCAATTTACGTGACTGCGTGGCTCCTCGGACTCTCAGGAACAGACCAGTAGACACAGGAAGAGTGCCCATTTTGCTTCGGTGCCGTTCCAACGATCGTATTTTGCGACATGAGTCGTATCGCAAAGAATATGTACCACTGCACGTTTCTGCTTCGCTTTGCAGTCCCAAAAAAAACAGCAAAATCGGAGAAACAGCGACATCGGCCCTTCCCCTGCAACCTTTCCGGTTTCGTTCCGAGCCGTCAGTCGCCTAACCCTTCTCTTCCATGGCTGGAACCGGAACCGGCTGATGTCGAAATAGGGGAAAACCGGCTGTAGATTTTTTTTTCTTTCTCAAGTTTCTCAGCGTTTCGTACTCTTCCGTTCCAATAATATCTTTCAGATAAGGACTCTGAGACCATAAGAAAGCGATAACGACGACATTTCGTCGCCGTGTATACTTTTTTACGCAGAATGCGTTTTCTCTATTTTAAGCGTCATTTTAAGCGTCCTCGCTGATATTTTAAGAGTTCCTCTATCAGTGATACACCCAGTAACGCTTATTTCAGCGTTTCCTCCCAAGAATGAGCGTGACAAAACTTTTAAGAGTTACCACTTTCACGCCTATCCCCTTTAAGCGTGACAAAGATCGACAGATGTTACGCTAAAAAATCTATTCAAATTTCAAGTTCACCTTTTGTGGAACCTGACTGGATTTTGCATGAAATCTGCTACAAAATTGTCAAAGTTTATTCTAATAAATATAACTATGAAGGAACGATACAACTTTTAAAATATCTGCACCCGTGCATACAAATCAGATATCAGAATGGGATCTGAAGCGCAATCTAACATCAGGCAGATGCGACCCTGTGAAAAAGTCATGAATTACTTCCAGGGCCCCTGGAAACACCTGGGCAGCCCTGATCACTTCTAGCGAAACCTGCGAATATCGCGAGTTTAACAGCAAAGACAGCAAAATATAGGTATATCATGTACGTCATGAAGACTGCAGAAATCGACGTTCCCACCAAACGTAATCATGTAACGTATGCCGGCCTATGACCGCAAGTCCAGCGTATCAGTAGAGTCAAGGCAGGGAGGAGGCGGAAGGAGGTGAACTAAAACATCCATCAACACGTGGAGGGAGGTGAACCCAGTGTTTGGGGTCAATCAACACGTAGAAGGGCTCCTTACAGTTTATATGCAGGATCCTTCCTTCTCGAATGTGCTACCCAAACAATGTGCAAGGAGCCATATCATCATTATGCGAATTGGTATCAAAGTCCTTCCAATCAAGTCCAATCGCCAAAACCTATCCTCCAATCCAGCAAGCTTTCAGCGGAAGATCCCTCCCTCGATCCCTCACTCCGAGGTGCCTGAAGAGCTCGAATTCGAAGAACTCGAGTCAGTACCGATTTGACCGGGGTACTCGGGCCCTTTTAGATCGTGGGTGTTTTGAAACTGGCCGCCTTTCTCTCTATAGAAACATACAGAGGAACAACGATATAGTTAAAGGATTCGTTTCGAAGGTCGTGAGTTTTTCCCCAGAACATGCAACGTTTTATCTGAAAGGAAGTGAAAATCAGCCCTTTGTCGTTAAGTGTACTGTAAAGGGGTTGGACTGGTTGTTTGGCTAACATTTCTTTTGTCCTTTTTTTATTATTAATTTTTCTTTTCGGAAATACTTTTTTGTTGCTGTCTTGAATTACGCCTTAGTTACTTAGTTGCTCGAATTTGAATTGGCACGGACCTGATTTCCTGGGAGGGGATTCATTGTAGTGGAATCGGGGCGCGTTAAGGTAAAGTTTCTATTTGAACTTAATTAATAGTTGATATTTTCAGAAACCCAACCCACTGCGCCCCGTGCCCGTTACAATCAGAACTTGTCAAGGAGTGCACGGAGTGCGCATGCGTGCAGCTGTATGTGGTTACTACTCGCTGATTTACGGACGCTGTGTGGTATTTGTGTTCCTCCGCCACCAGCCCAGACCGGCCAATTTTGATTATCCAGGCTCGGGCGTGTTCCTCAATTGAATTCCTCAACTTTGCACCTCTTTTCCTGGCGTAACCTTGGTCTCTATGTATCAAATCATAGGACTAAACACTATACGTTACATGGTGAGTGCATTTATGGAAAACATTAGTCTTTTTCCTCTATTAAACCTTGGCTATATGTGCTTAATATACTCGACGTTGGCCAGACCTAGCTTAAAGGACGCATCGGTATTCTATGACAGGCCTAATCAAAGTCTTATGAATGATGAAGTGAAGTAATGGTTCAGGAGACGTTATGACAGGCTGTTCATATGGTCACGTCTATTATGGCCTAATATGCCTACATCACCTTGGTGGGTTTATGAAGTCCATGCTGAGTGATTAGATCTGTAATAATATATGTAACTTAGGTATGAATTCCTTTTTCCCATACTGGTTTAGGAAAAGCTTCTAATGCTTTGCAATATATAATGAATCAAAGGTGTTCTATGCTGTCAGGAGTAACAACTGGTGCAAGGACTATTTGCATAATCTGGGAAGGAAAGAGAAAGCATTTCAATGGCTCATTATCTTCAGTCGCAACACCTCAGAGAAATTGCAGCAGATGAAGAGCCAACACCTTCACAACCCTGGCTTTGGCCATGACATCAAAGTCTTTTTGCAACTTCCTTGGCCACACGCACTCTCACTGAGTGATGGTACTTTTAGCTGGACATTTTGTCACATATGTACTGTCTGGTGGTTTTCACATCTGTCACCAGACTCTTAAGGAATAGAGTGACTTCCTCAGGCAAAATGCCTTTCAGCAGAATATGCATGGGGTCATAGAGTAGATCCCAGGTAATGGAGTAAAATGGTGTCTCATGAAGAATGCTTCCACTCTAGGCACCAAAAACTTTTTGATAAGGGTTTGTATTCAACAAGGGCTTGTGGCTTCCAGTGCTGTTACATGCTGTTTATGCTGCTCATCTATGTGAAGAGGGCACTTATCATGTGAGTGAAACTTACTAGTCTCAATTAGGCCTGTTCTGCATGGCTGATAGATGGACAGAAGCATTCCTTGAAGCAGGCAATATTGTGGCAGGCAAGTGAATCCCCAACGTAGGCAAGAACCACTCCTTAGAAAGTTTTCCCCTCTTTGAGTTGTGATGAATTTTGATTCCTGAAGTGGCTAGCAGCAGGAGGGTATACTTAAAGTCATTTAACAGCTCAGCCTTCAATGCCGTTAATTTCACAGCATCAGTGTAGTGCAATGAGGTGTATGTGCTTCAACTGAGAGCTATGAATAAGTGGGACATTCAAGAGAGGGATACAATACCCTTGTGCTTTTGCACAATTTTAGTCTCGTTCAATCTGTCCTAAAGGAAAATGACTGCTTTCCAAAATACCTCATGACTGCCAGGTTAAAGTATCTAATCAAAACTCTGGTGATTTGAGTCTTTCTGATGCAGTTTTGCAATGTCTTTTATTAATTTTTAAATCTTTCAATGATTTTTAAACAAGTTTTTTAGTCATTTCTCACAATTTTAATGTTTTTGTGATTTCTTTTAAATAAATTTCTCCTTACTGAGGCATTTCTTCCTGAATTCATCTTTTCACAGTACTCTGAACTCTACCTGATGATTATTTCAAAGCACAAAGCCAGAATATGCGATACCTCTAACAAATAACAGCTCATTTTACATTTTTGAGCAATATTCTCAAAAGTAAAAAAGTGAGAAAAATGTTTTAAAAACTAGTCAAGATAAAAGAAATATGCCTATTTCACCTCCTCCATATTAATGTCAATTTCTCCATAATTATTGAGAGAGGCGCGGACCGTGAATTTAAGCGTGACAGTTTGGAGGAAAGGCTGAGTGTCACTCTCATACAGGCGTGAGTGAATGCTGAGAGTCACTATTATTTAAGCGTGAATGAACGTTGAGAATGGAATGTTAAAAGTCACTCTCATTTAAGCGTGACATTTTTGACAATTTTGTCACGCTTACTTACCGTCCCTTTCAGCGTGATGAGAGTAAGGAAGGATTTATTTTTAACGATTGAGTTATGGCTGATTTTTCTCTTCCCATGAACTCTGGAGTTCCTGCTGCAATGCCCACCCCCACTCTAATTCAGCAAATAATTGCGCAGCTTTGCACCAAATAATTTGGCAGGAATTCATTTGCACGGAAAAGGAGAGTTCAAATTGCAGAAGTTCTAAGTGATATCCGAACGACATAGGAGGAAAACACGGAACACCTGAGGAAAGTACTGGCATAAAACATTAAGAATAGACATCGCAACAGATGAAATGATCCAAGAACAGGTCAAGGAGGGAATTGAGGATCATAGAATTCAAAAGTAGAAATAGTTGTGTGTAACGCTTCAAAAGAGGCTAGATCCATTTCCGCAGGGTCGACTTCTTTGCGTAGCCCGCGTGATCGCAAGTGGCGACCAACAGACAAATCATCACATATTTCATCATGGACGCTTGAAATCTCTCTCGATTCGTAGCAGCAGGCAAAAAGGCACTACGGTGAGGGATGCTACCGTTCCCTGAGAAGTACCATGCCGACTCTCTTCTCCCCTTCCATCCTGAAGATGG